TAATAGTGCACCTTAAAGGGGTCCAGAATGTGATAAAACTTGATTATAAACTCCTTTAAAGATGTGGTTTTCAACAGTAATTTACTTGATATGATTTGTTGTAGTTATTTTTGACAGTACATACCCCCAGGCAACACCTCAGGTTTGTTCTCTCTTACTGTCTCTCTCTGTTGTTTTGCCTCTGAGGAAAGAGCCAAAAGAGCCAGGGTGTGTCACTCATTTCTCCAGAACCCTTTGTGAGGCAGAAGCTAATCCGGTTGCTGATTTGTGCAAGGTGGGGCTGCATAGCTGTGACTGTGGCCGTGAGCAAACACACAGACGCGGCGTCAGGTCGAGCAGTTGTTTTCTGTCATTATGATGGAAGTTCTGTGCTAGAAGACCTTTACTTAAGAGCTTAGTGACTTAAGGCTGAAACCTGAATGCTCTGAGTTAATGTACGTCTCTGTAGTTGCCTATTGCGATGCTGTCAGACTCATTACGGTCAATATATGAAGAGTTTTACGCCTAAGTGCTCTTTGGCTATGGTTGGACAGGCAATCAGATATTTCAGTTCACATATCCAATAATTATCAGATCTTTGACTTGAACTCTGAGCAGGATGGATAAATGTCTTTCAGTTCAGATTTGGACCATGCTAATGTGCCTTTAAGCTTATTGCTTGTCTGAACCTGCCAGTTTGATTGGTTTGAAGAGGGAGAAAAGGAAGGAATCAGATTTGATTATTTCAGCTGAAGGAGATGAGAAATGCTGTTCTGTAACGGGTTCCCATTAATTGGCTATTTAATTCTCCAACCTCTATTGTCTGGCCTTTCCTTAAAGATCTCTCTTACTCAAATTCAGCCACTAAAATGAATAGATTACTCATTTACTCAATAAACAACAGCTTTACAGTTCATGTTGTCATTTTTTTTTGTAGCTCGTGGCAAGCCATGAAATCTGTGAAATGTTGCGGAGTCATTGAAATTATCTTTTATTTAGAGTGTTAAAAATGACTTGTCAGTGCTGAAAGTGCTTATGGGCTCATGAGCCTTTAGAGTTAGTCATGATGATATTTTTAGCAAATTATGGCCATTAAATGTGTGATGACTGTGGTAAACCTAACCCATCTCCAGTGCTGTTACCTTATTCCTTTGATCATAGTGAAATACACTATACAAGAACTCTGTAAACCTCCAAAGAAATGACGACATCTACTTTGCATACTCTGAGCTGTCTTGTTTTGTCAGCATCTGTGGAGTCGTGTTTGGTGAGAATGTTTTCAGGCATGTTGTTGAATATGCTTGACTTGTTGCTCTGGTGTTTAAAATGATATGTTCAAATGTAGTAGGCAGTGATTTGTTATCAGGTTTAGTGTTGATACTGCATAATTTACACTCTCCTACTGTTCTCTGGTTTAAGTAAATTATATTCTTACTTTTCTTACTTTTTATCGTTTCCCAGTAAAGCATTTTGGAGCCTGTGAAGTTTGTTTTAAGATTACGTCAGTATATATTGTTTAGCTTTTTAAAAATCAGTTAATACAATCTGTAGTGTTTTAGCTATAGGTTGCTTTATTTTGAACCCCCAACTGGCATATATTATACCTCATTATATTGTGTTTATTCCTTTGGGGTAGAAGAATGTGAGGAAGTTTTTGATTGTCATTAGTGTTTTCACACTCATTTCATAGGCTGTGTGACCTGCCTGGCCAAACTATTATGCCTAGCTTGGATGAGACACAGACATTAGGATGTAACTGGCAGGCTAACATTGATTTCTAGCACTTTTTTTGTTTAGTTTCTGCATAGCACAGTAATGGCCAGTTCGTTTTGTCATCACTGCCGCAAATAAGCATGGATAATGCAGCGTACAAACAATGCAACCCACACTAACAGTATCCCGTTTGGCTGAATGGCTGAGTCATGGATGTTTAAATCATGTTTCAATTGAAAATGCGGCAGGCCCTCGATCATCACCAGGTGTCTAGTGTGTTGCATAAGTAGTCCACTTTTTTTAAGGCACAGACATGTGCTGTGCTTGTGTTTCCTCTTTTGTTCCAGCTGGTGCTGAAGCATTATGGTAATTTTCCAAATTCAAGGAGGGTCTGATGGTCAGAGGCACAAGTGTACGGTGTGCACAAATGAGGCAAATGACTTGAGAAATTCAACAAAGCTGAAGCTGGCTTCTTAATCATATTTCCCATTCTGCCTGAAATGGTGCCGTAGTTACATTCAGGTTCTGTGCAGGGTACAAAGTGGAATGGAAAATTTGAGCAAAATTGTTTTTTTTTTTTACTGCTTTGCAACCTAAATAGCCTACACCACATTAGTATATTTTCATCCAGTTTAAAATTCTCAGTCCTTTCAAAAGTTAAGGTGCACTAAATTCAGGTCTCAAGTCCGACATGGACCCAATCGTTGTTGTAGCAGTGTAATATAGTGGTGGCAGAGGCAAGTTTATTTCTAGCTAGCCCTATTAAAGTTTTTTCTGTTCTGGTCTTGGAGTTTTTTAAAATAGTCACAGTAGGCTTTAATTACAGAATTTCTTGCCCTTAAAGGGACAGTTTTTCTCCAAACTGAAATATTACTTTGGGGTGGCTTTACTGATTATTAGAGTGGTATGGTGTTCTTGCCCAGGCTGAGATTCAGACCCTAATCTGTGTGGAGTCCAGGAATATAACCCACTGCACTCCACCGACCGGCCTGAAAAAAAGGACAATGTTGCTTATATGTTTCAATAAAAAATTCAAAACTTATTTTGAAGCTCATTTCGAAGTTCATTGTAAAGCTTAGTAGGTACAACTAAGATATTGAATCAAAATCGGGAAAGTAAAAGTGAAATTGTCATTTCTAATGCTAGCATATCGTTATGAAATATGAAGTTGATTTAAAAAAAAAAAAAAAAACACACAATCACGTCAATTAGTAGCTAATGTTCTTGGTGACCAGGGCAATTTAAAGCTACGGTCAGGTTATCTATAATAGAGTTTTTTTCTGTTTTTAATGTTTGCTTTTAAAGATGAATTGTAAGAACTTGTGATGAACTTTATTGCTGTGGATCCGTTCCATGCCTGTGCCTCATTTGTTTAATCATGACATGCTGTCAGCAGCTCTGTGTGTGTGTGTGTCAGTGTGACATGCTTCAACATGTGTGCCTGCCTGCACATTCTCCTGCACAAATCCTTCATTCTCTCCTTGTTGAATGTGGCCACTGGCCATGCAGAAATTGCTTCAATTATATACACTGTTGCTGCACTACTAGGATGAAAGAATGTAGCTGTTGGATTGGTTGTATCATTTAAAGATAATCCATGCACACGTTTGGAGGTGTTGATATAAGTCTTTTAGTCCTGTTTAATGTGTGTGTGTGTGTGGATATACTTGCTTTCAGTGAACCAGAGGTTATTGACAGTTGTAGAAATGTGGAGGTTTAGTAAACAACCCATTAAAAGTATTGTTTCCCATCAAACACAGGTGCATAAGATGAGGGAGGCCCTATCAAAGAGATGGAGGCATGCTAATGGCAAGCTGGATTGGCCTGTTTTTGTTTTTTTTTATTTTGTTTTGACTTTCTTGGAGAGAGATGCACACACGAAGCACTACCTGTCATTAACTTTGAATTGCTTGATCATCATAGTGATTGCTTGCTTTGTGAACCTATCCTACTTACGCTAAGAGCAGTTGTTTGATGCCACACACCTCATGAAAATGCCACACATGTTTGAAATTAACATTTGATAGGCTGGATCTGTTCATACACATTGTGCATTAGATACTGCTTGGGAATTCCACCAGTGTCAAAATTTTGACATAATATAGTGGTTGATGTAAAATGAAGGCCTGTCACTATCAATTACATTTATACATGAGTAATCTGAGTTATTTTGATGAATAAAATAGTCTTTTTAAAAAAAGGCTTTGCTAGAGAAACTGGCTGTGTCCATCAGGCTCTGTTTCTTACTGTAAGAAAGACCACTGGAAGAATTTAAAATATGTGTTGTCATGTGAGGTGTTGTTTAATTGTGCATTCTTGATAGCCTTAACTCTACAGCACATGAGACTAAAATCATTATTTTTTAAATCGGTACATTCCATTAATTACACTAATGACGTTTTAGAAAGATGGTGTAAAAAAGCCATTTTTAACAGCATGAAGGAATGCCAAGAGCATTCTCTTCAAAGCGGTTATAATGTGCCTCCTGCTGCATTTCTTAAAGGTTTACACAACCACTCCTTACTGTAACACATTCATTTGGGCTTGCAAGTGCAATGCACTTCTGTTGCCGTTGAGAACAGTTAGGCTCAGCACTTTGGTTCATTTGTGGAAGTGGATGTGTTTACCACTGATGTTTGAACACACAAGGTCACAGGGCGGTCTTGTACTTGCTGATGACAAACTTGTTGAATTTCATTTCTGTTTCTTTTTCATATTTTACCTGTCTTAATTGAGCTTCTAGTTGGTAATAGGTGCTATAATTGGCTTAAGAAGCATCTTTAGTGATTCCCTGTTGGTTGTGTCATTAATCTAAAGCTGTATTTAAAACATTTTTCTTGAAAGTCAACTCTTTGAATAAAGTGAGCAGCATGAAAGGTTTCCAAGGTTTTGCCAGTTGACCTTGCATCTACATTATAAGATAATATCAAAGCTATGGTTTTGCTGCTGGGCTTGAAATTGCACAACTTTTTAGATTTTTGTGTGTGTGTGTGTGTGTGTGTGTGTGTGTGTGTGTGCGTGTGTGTGCGCGTGCGTGTGTGTAATGCTTAGATAAAACACATCTAATATTTCATGCACAAATTTTATTAATAATTGTTTTTTGTCTCTTTACAGTTTTTTTTTGTTTTGTTTTGTTTTTTTGTTTTTTTGTTTTTTTTACTATTTGACTACAAGCAAAGTTCTTTCCCTTTTGTATTTGCTGTCTGGCTGCTAAATGTGCTGAATGAATTAGGCCTAATTTAAAAGGTTTCATTTCTCTCTCTTTTCTGCACCTCTGTTTCTTACCTGGCTCTCTCTCTGATGTGCAGTTCCAGCAAGCTGTGTCAGCGGAGGTTAAAGCTCTGGGCAGGAGCTCCTACACGCTGTGTGTTGACGGACCCCTTCTCATCCGACAGGCCCTTCACCCCGAGGCCTCCAAAAAGGTTAGCAAATGTCCAGGACTGTGTCAGAAGCGGTTTGTGGCAATGTTCAGTACTGTGCAAACATCGGAGGCTACCCTGCATTTATTTCTGAAGCAAGAGTGGAGCTTCATCTTCTCCCTTCTCTTAAAGATGAAACATTGTAGTCTACCATGTTTTGCACAGTTGTTAGGAGTCCCATTTTCAACTCTTAAAAACTTACGTCTTTTACTTAAACATTATACTTCTTTATGCAAGTGAATTGTCTTATCTACTCTCTTCAGAAAGGTCTCCTTGAGAAAAAAATAACTTGCATTTAATGATTTTTGATGGCAAAGTAAATAAGTGAAGGGTGGTCTCTGACTTTGGCACAATACTGTAGAAAAAAGAAAGTCAGTACCAGGAAATTTGCTCATTTTGCAGACCTAATTCTGTTCTTTGGCCCATTTCATCAGTGTATTGCTCATTATTTGGCATGGTTCTTAAGCTGTCTCGACAAGCCTGGCTAAAGTGTCTTTTTCTGTGTGTGTGTCTGTTTTAGAATCTGGTCCTTCCAGAATGTTTCTACTCATTTGTGGATTTAAAAAGAGAGTTCCACAAATGCTGTCCCAATGCTGGCCCAGTGAAAGACCTCACCCTGCCCTCCATGCTCGAATGTATCCTTACCTTGAGTTTTCTTTATCAAGTTCTGTTAGCTTGATTATTGTTTTTCTGTTTGGTGTAGAAAGGACCTAAAGTGTGATCAACTCCAGTCCTGGGCTTACCTGCACAGTTTTTACTGAGGGTGGCTGATATGGCAAAAACGTCATAATATAAAACCCATTTCCCAGTGGACCTGAGCAGTTACATAACACTTTGTATGTTGTTTTTGTTGTGGCAGCGTTTGCCATTTGTCTGTCCCTACATGTCGCACAAAAACAGCAGTTTGTGGTGGTTATTTATAACTAACTAGGTTATTTTCTATAAGGTCACAGGCAAGGCAAAGTCATTTTATGAATCTTATGCAGAATTTTGCTTATTGACTAGGTGTTTCTGTAAAGAGTACTTGATTAGTCAACTACTCATTCCCATCCATAATCACAAGACATTTTTGTTTGGAAACAAGTGGGACTGGACAGAATGTAGCAACCAGTGAAACAGAAAAAGAGGGCTGTGACAGTAATGACATCACATTAGCCACCAGTAGTTTCATGCATTCCCTGCCACACCCACTATAACTCATCTAGTCTTTGTGAGTAGGATTAGGTCTATTGAGGCAGTGATTAGAGTACAGATTTGCAGAAGAGTGGGTCCCCACAGTTGAAAACCATTGACCTATTGGACCTTAACACGACTGAGGTCTTATCGTATTTTGCAGTGTCTTCAGATGTTTAATACCAAGATGTATTCTAATTAGATATGATACTAGTAAACAAAATACGTTCATGCACCGTAGCCTTATATGAACTGTGTTAACTAACAACACTTTGTGTTAACTCTCTGCTTTAACACATCAGTTTTAAAAGTGTACAGTGACTGGTGTTATTTGTTTGTCTATGAAAAGGCTGGTTTGCCTTACATGCATGTCCACAGATGTGTGTCTCCCTGCTGTAAACGAGCAGATGGCTGGAGTGAGGGAAGTGAAGAGCATGATGATGGTCATTCAACACATCCTGGCTGAGCCATACGGTCAGTAAAATCATTTCTGCTTTGTTATGTACTCCACTGCTCTTCTGCATGCACATAGTCTTATTGTGGTCGTCTAGTGTTTCAGATAACTATAGGATCTTTTCTAGTATTATATCAGGTGCAAGATGTCATTCATTGATTGCTTCATTTTTGGGCTCTACCTGTTAAAATTACACACAAAGCAACAACATTTTGTTGCAACAGTCATGTTTTATGTCCATGGCTAGGTTATTGCTGCTGTGGCGAAAACCTTCACCACAGGACGGAAAAGGTATAGCTAGCTAAGACGTGGGCCATTTTGTAGAACAGCGAAACCATATCCATAGACCAACCACAACATTAGTAGACTGGAAAATATGGCAGACATTTCTTGTTTGTCCCAGTTAACAAATGATGACATTTGTATCTGTTTTTCCTATCTGTGCCATCTCTGTGCCATTGCGCTACCAGTATGTAAGTTAACATTTAAGTAAGTAACTCATGAAATATGGCCAGAATGCTGTCTGTATTGTTGTAAGTATTTACCATAACCTTATTTATTTATTTAGGAGGACAAGATAAACAATTGCTACAGCTAAGATGTACATGTGATATGTAGATCAGTTAATAAAGATGTGTACTAAATGACTGTGTAGTAGAACCCCGCAAAGAGAGTTTATTTTTTACTTTTTCTTGAATTCTTTAAGTATAGATTATGCCACCGATGTTCTTTGTGGAAATCTTTCTGTACAGCCCATGTATAAATGTCTTATGCAAAAGTTTGGGCACCCCGGTCAAATTACACATTTTAGTGGTTTAAGTGTCTCTAAAAATGACGCCCTCTACAGAGAACAAACCTCTGCACATTTTAATATACAATTACTGTTTGTTTAATGCATTTAACAATTTATTTAAACATAAAATGTGGCCTGTGCAAAACTTATGGCACAGTTTATTTTTTGTTTAGTTTTTTCCCCCAAATATAATAAACTCAGAAATTGAAAGGAATTTTTGCACCAAAATTTGTTGACATTTGTTTCCTGTATAGAATGTGTAATTTTCACTTATATTCACTTTTTTTTAAACAAAGAACATAATTTGACCAGGGGTGTTCAAACTTTTTGCGTACTACTGTAGGCTACTGTAGGCTTGTACTACCAACTGTAGTTTCCATAGATCTAATATGTGTTTCCTGTTTGGTTCCTATTAAAAAAAAAAGAAAGCATGTAGGAACCATGGATCAAGATATGAGAACTTGCATTTAATGTATAGTCCATGTAAGTGTCTCTGGATACATTATTTTTGTTCTGATGTCGGTTTCCGCACACTTTCTCAAGTTTTTAATTTCACACACTCGCTTTCTCATCTTGTGTAGATTTACAGGCTTTTGTTTTGTGGCCCCGAACATGAGTAGTAAATGCGTGCTTAGGGCATCCCCAAAAAGTATTTGGACACTTGTGCCACACTTGCAAATGTATTGAATTAGTTATGTTAGGAAGCAAAATTTCAAACAAAGTGTCATTTATTTTAAACAGACCATTCTTTTTGACAAACTATTCCCATCATTGACCTCACTGACACCATTTTGAAAAAAACAACCCCAGAGTTATTGTGCTTAAAGTCTTTTTCCTATAAAAAAGGTAAATTAATGAAGTAACCTAAAGAACTTTATTAATAGTAAAGGTGTCCAAACAAGTGTCCAAATAAGAATGAGGCACTAAAATGGCATATCGAGCATTATTAAACAACTCTTCTGTTTTCTTCCAGATCATAAATTTTCCTCGTTTGAGACAGTGAAGTACAAGTTTGAATCTGGAGCCTGGTGAGTTTCCTAAAAATCATAACTGTCACATTTCTGAGTCAACCTGAAACCCAAGGTGATGACAGTTCTCTGCTTGTCTTTCTCTGACAGCAGTAAGACTGAAGCTGTGGACAGTGAGACGGTCATCAGAGCCAGAGGGTTACCATGGCAATCATCCGACCAGGACATTGCTCGCTTCTTCAAGGGCCTCAACATTGCCAAGTAAGAACAGAGCTTGGAGTGCTTGCTCACACAGCATTCTGTTCAGTGTTCACTTTAGCCAGGTCAATTTGTTGAGCCATTTGGGATCATGTTTCATCGGCAGCAGTGATGTTTGTTTAGAGATTTGGCAACCGTAGGTCAAACAAGACTGCATTAATTGGGATGTTTGTTATGAAGAGGTTGCAAATACAGCTGCAGTGCCTGGACAACTGTGTGCCTGTGTTTGTGAGAAATACACCTACCAAGAGACTTACCAACGAAATGGACTTTGTAATGTTCTTTTCTTAAAGGCTACATGTTTAATTTTTAAAGGGAATGGAAGTCAAGCTTAGGAAAATTCTTATTACATTGTATTAAAAATATGTCCCACTGTCTGTGTCTCAGAGGCGGCGTGGCGCTGTGTCTGAATGCTCAGGGCCGCAGGAATGGAGAAGCTTTGGTGCGTTTTATTAACTCAGAACACAGAGACATGGCACTGGAACGGCACAAACACCACATGGGCAGCAGATACATCGAGGTGAGCTGCTCAACTCTAGACATTTACTCACTTCACACACATGCTGTGTCCAAAAGTCCTAGAAGGCCACATCACTAAGTTTAGTATTCTGCCTCATTTAACACACTTGATCAAACTCGTCAGATTATTACAGCAGCTTTAATGAGTTGAATTTAGCATTAGAAGAAGGAGAACACTAATCTCTGTAAGGCTGCGTTTCTCTAGGACCTGAATTTGACACCGCTGCTTTATATCTAAAAGCCCAGTTGAGCTGGATTAGTTCTTGGATTAGTTTTGGAGGTTCTGTAATATGAGATTGCCGGACAAATTTGCAATGTCCGTAATATGACCATAATTTTCTAACTGACTTCAACAAAACTTGCTAATATACATGGTTGTATATTATGTTGTTATTAGTATTGAGCATGGCCCTGACGTGTAACTGACATGAACAGCAGGGTTGTAGTTTTTAATCCAGGCTGTCTGTGGTAATTTGTGGTAAATGAACACAAGTACTTTATCCCAGTTAGGCCAGTCAAGTCTTTTACTAATTGAAGGGGAATTCCTCCAGGAATTCTCTGTAAGCTTCTGTACAATGTTTGAACAATGTAGTGAGAATACGTATTGTTAGAAATTAGGTGCTGCTTGTTATTTTAACTCTTTTTCTGTTTGTAAAAATAAAACTTACTTTCTCTCTTTCAGGTGTATAAAGCAACTGGAGAAGAGTTCCTGAAGATTGCTGGAGGTGAGTTACTGTTATAGGGTTGGTGGTAATGTGTTTTGGAAGTCTTCAATTACAGATGAATTTAGACACTCACTCAAGCGCTAAGAGACAACGTCCCTCTATCATGCGGTCTGTGTATGTAAGTGCTCGTTCTCTCTCCTGGACTGAATCAAAGGCTCTTTTGTGTGTCATGTCCCTGTGCTGACTCATGTTGAGCAGGTTTAGGGGGAAACTTTACTCTTCTCCCCTCCTTTGCAACCCGTGCCTGCACCCGAGAGACAGCAGTTTCCCCTGAGACGCAGCAAGGCAGCGACTGCTGAAAAGGCCTACACTGCCCTCTCACACTCCGGGTGTAAAGAGATGGTGGCAGGCTGAGATATTGCTGTGCGTCTATTGAAAGAGGGGTGAAAGTAGATCCACAGCAGATGCCTTGACACGCTTTCCTTTCTCTGCTGAACTTTGAATACACGAATGGATCAATATGCTTTCTGTCACACATGCACATTGGCTTATCAGCACCTTGAATTTGTGTTTGCTATTCTTTATGACATCTGTAATATTCTATTTTCAGCATTTTGACTGCCTACTCTTAGAAGTCGTAGGTTATTAAATCAGGAATTCTGAAACTATGAGGTTATTGCACCTCATTTTGAATTTCATTTATGCCTTTTACTACTTTGTCCTGCCAAATATCGGAGGAAATAGTTGAAAATGATCAACAAAATATCTGAACTGATAGAGGAGAAGGCTTTGTAGCTCTTGTGATTTCTGTAGTGGTCAGCACTACTAGTGAATAATTTGTTTATTCAAGAGAGAAGATGTATGCAGATATAGAAAATGCATTCCATTTATGCTTAAGCAGAATATGGGACATGGTCACAAATGGAAGTGTTAAATTAATTTTCGCCATTGTATTTTTTATTTTTTTTTTTGCTGATATGAGTCGAATCGACTGTAAATGTAATCACATAACTAACTTGTAATTACGTTAATTACTAACACCGCAGAGAACACCAACCCAGTGAGGAAGAACTAACACCAAGGCTGACTGTTGATCAGCATCTATAGCTCACTTTCGCCTCTTGTCTTCTTTGAAAATTTGCACTTGAACACACCGCAAAGATTACGGCTGATTTCTGACATACACATGCTTACTGTGCCTGAGCAAAAGTAAACAATTCATTATACCATTAGCTGGCAGTAGTCCATAAAACTGGAAAACTGGAATAAGAAAAAATAAAAAATGTGCTGCTTGAATATCTTGCAAATGTGTAGGTAGAGGTGGGCAATATAGCAAAATTGTAATGTCATGTATTGTGAAAACTTCTTAAAGTATCATGATATGTCACAATGTATATTTTAAAAGAAACAAAGACATGCCACTTTTAGAAATACTGTCAAAAAGTATGAATACAATCATTTTATCTTCAGCATTTCACGCCCTGTGCTGCATTAAATCTAATTACAGAAATAATTCTGCTCTCTTTGTAATGAAACATGCAGTTGGAAAGTATTTTGAAGTCCTGGCAATATTCACTGTATATCCAGACAAGCATATTGTGAAAGAATTAATCATGATAACATAACATTAACATAACATTAATTCATCAATGTCACGTCATATTGCAAGTAAACCACTTATAACATGGTGATAGGTGGGTAAAAAGCCTACTTAAAAGTCGGGATACGCAGTGATCCTAGAATCATGTTGTTTTTGGCAGATATTTGCATTAAAAAAACATATCGGCATTGGTCAGATGTTTGGATTTGGCCGATATTTCAAACCCATATTTCATGACATGAATTGTATTCTGGATGAGCAGAACATTTTAAGCAACAGTAGGCTGCTGTGCTAAAATATGTGCGCTTTTATTTTACTGCATTTGTAACCCTGTAGAAATAAATATTACATTTGTCTGTAATGCTAATGAAGATGAATTTAGTCACAGTTCCAGTGTTTACCTATAAACATCAGCAGATATGTAAATGAAAAATCTCAGACATCCGCATCAGTGGGGATTCCACTGTTTATGCACTGTGTATATAGTAACTTATAGTCTGTATAGTCTGGGACTGCTTGCTGTACACTCTTTGGCTTCTCTTCTCATGCGGCTGACTACTGATGCTCTGTTGGCCTATACAGCGCTGACATAAGCCAACTACAGAACTACAGGTGCGGTACACACTGCGCAAACTACAGGCCGACAATCGACTTGATTTATCAGGGCCCTTAGAGCATAATTTGCTCTGTTTATTTGATCATGTTGCATTTCTTGTCAATGAGTGTTTTAACCTGAACTTTCTATTAATATTCCATGTGTTGAATGCATTAACAATGAGAGAACATATACATGGTCTTATTAAGCTGGCAGCTAGAATCTTCTAGTGATGACCCACTCTTTCTTTTATTCGCCTTCCTTTAGGCACATCCAATGAGGTGGCGCAGTTTCTGTCTAAGGAGAACCAGGTGATAATCCGCATGCGTGGCCTGCCCTTCACAGCCACACAGCAGGACGTGCTGGGCTTCCTGGGCCCTGAGAGCCCTGTGACAGATGGCACTGAGGGCCTGCTGTTCGTAAAGTACCCAGACGGGAGGCCTACGGGCGATGCCTTCGTACTGTTTGCCTGTGAGGAGTACGCCCAGAATGCCCTGAAGAAGCACAAACAGATTCTGGGAAAGAGATACATTGAACTGTTCCGCAGTACAGCGGCTGAAGTCCAGCAGGTCAGTACAGCAACAAGCTATTTTTTTCTCCATTAAGTTATTCACATGTTTCTGTTACAACACATTATTTATATAGTGCACAGCCTAAGTATCCATAGAGAACAGAGTAGTCACAACACGAATAAAACAAAGCTCAAGAATGGAAAAACATTAACGTCAAAAAGAAAAACAACAGTAAATTAGATCGAAATAAACAAACAAAAAAAATACATATCAAAAGTAAAAAGTACAGCACAGAAAATGATCGCACTACAACATTCAGTAAATGAGACAACAATGTTTAACAAATAGTGTGAGCTAGAGGCAGAAAGTAAGTACTGGTGATGTTTTCAGGCCAGCTTTAAAGGGAAAGGTCTTACAAATAAAAAAGAAATGTGCAATCAATATAATTATTCTAAAATTGCAAAGTTTACAGTAAAGTTCATATCAAATACCAATCCATCTTGTGTTTTTCAGGTGCTAAACCGTTACATGTCCACTCCACTGATCTCCACGCTCCCTCCTCCTCCTATGGTTCCGGTCCCGGTGCTGGCCACCCCTCCCTTCATCACCACGAGCAGCACCAGAGACTGCGTGCGTCTGCGAGGGCTCCCCTACACAGCCGCCATCGAAGACATCTTGGAGTTCATGGGAGAACACACCATAGACATCAAACCACACGGCGTTCATATGGTGCTCAACCAGCAGGTCAGAAGAGGACATTTTCGGTTCAAAAAATAATTGTTTTATTTAGATCTTACAGTGAAATTTGGTGCTAGAATAGAGACTAACCAGCTCTTAGCAAACACCACAGTATGGTGTATAGTATAGTTCAATTATATGAAAGTTGTTGCTATTTCTTTTTATATCCGTCATTACATGACAATTACTTATTGTTAACTTCCTCCAAAAGCCAACTTTTCACATATTTGCAAGGCTGATACATAGCCACATGTATACAGCATATGATGCAAAGCCTCATACAAACCTCAGCATGTGAAACTTCCTTTAGTCCAGACATAACATCTGACCTGTTGGTTAAACGTTTCCTGTGCAGCTGACCCTTGTAGACTATGAGAGAATTTTCTTCTTTATACAGAACCTGTGTGAAGAAACATTGAGATACTAATTTAAAGATACAAAGTATGCGTGATGGTTTGGATCATCTAATATACTTTGTACTCAAGGCCGGCCACAACTATTAGGATTTTGTCAGTTGTGTTTTCATTTCCATGGACCAACTTCAGCAGTCTGATGAGAAACACATGCAAGCATCTTCAAAACAAGACATATTCGCAGAATTGAAAAAAGGTTGTTTCACACCATCACATTTTAAATAAGATATTTAAGAGTTTTCATTGAAGCAGTTTTTTAATATCTAGTAAAGAAGTATAACACATACTGCTTTGTTTCATGTGGGTCTGTTTTTGTTGTAGTATTGCTTTTAAGAATTACCTGCCCCTACACATTAAACAAAAACAATGGTTTGCAGTTGGTTGGTTTGCATGTCTGTCACATGGTCTTTTCCTGTCAAAATAGGCCGTTCTGGGCCACAAAACCTACCTCATTCGCTGAGGGTTAGAAGTCAGACTTGCCTAGAGCAACTCTGTATAGCAGATCTGTAGCTTTAATTCATGCTGTGGGCTTAGGTTAATACTTAATCCTAAACCTTAATTAATTCTAATTTTAAAAAGTGGAGAGTATAATTAAAAAAAAACTGGGGTTGCGTTAGTCATTGAATAAAAACAAACAAAAAAAAATATTCCCATGGTAGGTGAGAATTGTATTGTTACCCGTACAAGATCAAAAGAAGGTAATGGCCTTATAGTCCCTCACCAGCCCCTGACCTCTCTCTGATCAACTCTCAGGGTCGTCCCTCTGGTGATGCCTTCATCCAGATAAAGTCAGCGGATCGTGCGTTCATGGTGACCCAGAAGTGCCACAAGAAGATGATGAAGGACCGTTATGTGGAGGTGTTCCAGTGTTCTGCTGAAGAGATGAGCTTTGTGCTGATGGGGGGAACTCTGAACCGAAGTGGTCTTTCCCCTCCACCGTGCAAACTGCCCTGTATGTACCCTGCTCACCTTTATTTGATTTACATACGATTAATTAACCGCAAGATATGTTTCTCCACACGCTGATTAAAGTGATGGTATTGGGACTTTAGCCGAATCATTAACAGTGCAAACTGGTGAAGGATTTTCATCAAGCTTTTCCCCCTAGGTGCTCAGGTTTTAGTCCTAGATATGCGCCATGCTGCTGGGGTGCAGCAAATCTTGGTTCAGTTAAGGAAAAAAGACAGCAGAATCTCTCTTGACTGTTTTTATGACCTGGTCATAGGTCAGGTGTCGGACAAAGGAACTACTTTGGGAAATGGCTACTACTGAACTGAGAGGAAAAAAGGTAGTGTTATTAGGTGGCACTTCTGGTTTGAAAGCACTCCTGTATAAATGACTGAAGTGAGAAGGGAGGAGAAGGAGGGAGCTTTTTAAGTTCATCAGTAGACTTTCAACAATTGTTCCCTTCTTATATTAAGCCAGATTAGCCAAATCTGATGTCTTACTGGAACTACTTCAAAGAAATACTTCAGCATTTCTCAGTCTATTGTAGATGTATCTGCCACATCTTTTGCATAGTCAGGCATAAGCATGTATATGCACTAATCAGCCCAAAACTGTATTAAACACAGAGATGGGCAATATGATGATATATATCATTATTGTGATGATTTATCACTGATCGGATGTCTGAAAGAAGAAATGGTTTATCATGAAATTTTGAAGTATAGCTATATTAGATTTTTTGCCATATTGCCACCTTTAATTAAACATATCCTACATAAGAACCAAGTTTTGTTTAAACAGAAGGGCTGAGAATTATAATATCTTCATGATTATGTGACCAAAAACTAAAAAAAGTTGACTGACTGCAGTATGCAGGGATGGAGTTCTGAAAGCTCTATATTCTGAAATTCTAAAGACATTTATATCCATCACTTATTTTAAGTTTTGAACAGAATGACTTTAAAATATGCAGAATGTTCAGAGTACTATAAATGAATACCATTGTGTGTCCCAGTAGGGTGGATATGAGCTTTGTCAGAGCAGTGGGTGCAGCCTGTTCAGCAGGGCTGATAGTGTAGATTGTGTGCAGGCCTGTGCTGTTCTTCACTCCTATCAGCACAGACTTTCAAGATTAGATTTCAGCTTATCTTGGACGGAGCAACGTGAGCACCTCTGTCCCTGCCGGAGAGGTGCAAGGTTTTGGCATTTATAAAGTCGGGACTTAAATCGGAACCAAAAGCGCCCTGTTTGCATAGAGATTGGATCTGTCTGTCTGACCTTGGCTTCAGAATAGGCCCTTATGTGTGCAGACTGCAGCAGAGGAGGTGCTTTTCCTTACCGCAGGCCGCTATTACTTGTTTGTGTGTAAATATCTGTATAGGGGTGTATGTGTAGTTGGTACTTTTTGACCTGCCGAAGGACAGACTCTTCTAGGAAATGCGGCTGTTATCCACGTACTTACTCCAGACTGAAGTCTGTCACACTGTCCAACCTCTGCAGGTTTTTCTTTTTCTGACCCTGCAACAACCAGCAGTCCCTTTCTTTTGCACTAGTAACCCCTCCCCACACCCACCCCGCCCTTTTTGTCAACAGATTTTCAGTGCAGCACATACAGCAGGTTTTCTACGCTCATACAGTACTATGCAGAAGTCAAGAGACTGAACTTCCATTGATTTAATTTTGAGTCAAAATAGCTGTTGTGTACACATTATTTTTCAGTGTCATTACAAAAAAGCAGAAAGCATATATTTGACAGAAAATTACACAGAAGCCACAACAACAAAATATATTTTTGTCAGCTTTTAGTTTGTCCGGCCTTTTCCTTCATTACAGCTTGTTAGATTTTCAAAAAAAAATCTGTAGCGATCATTTTTCTAGACTAGGTTAGGCCTGTCAATTTACTTTCTACACTTTACAGTATGATTTACTAATGTACAGTGCTGTGTATAGGTATTTACCCCCACCTGATTTCTTCTATTTTTTAATCTTTTTAGAATGTGGCATTATGTGCTGCTTTTTGAGATCTTATAGCCTCCTTCAAATTACCAGGCAGGTTCTATTTAAGTGATGTTTAGATTCAACAGGTCTGGCAGGAATCATGCTGGGGTATGGCCAGTGAAATTGAACCCAGGGGTTAGTTGAATTTGGTTAACTGGTTGATTTATTAGCTAAGGGGGCAAATACTTTTTCATATGGGGTCAGGTTGGGCTGAACAGCATTTTTCCTTCAATAAATCAAATCATCATTTAAAAACAGCATTTTATATTTACTTGGGTTATCTCTTTCAAATTATCAGACTACTACTAATATCAGACATTCAAGTGTGACGGATATGCAAAAATTAGAAGAAATTGAGAAGGGGGCACATACCTTTCACAGCACTGTATGTGGTGGTTGTTGTTTTCTTTTTGCCTTTCATGGAATGCTCTCATTTGCTGAATTTCTTTATCTTCCTCCCCCTGACCCTTAGGCCTGTCACCACCGACCTATGCTGCATTTCCTGCCCCGACAGCCATGCTGTCCACTGAGGCTCTCTATCAGCCCCCTCTGCTGGCCACTCCCAGAACACCACAGCCCCCCACTCACAGCCCTGCACCCACCCTGACCTACTACTCTCCTCAGCCTCAACTCTATATGAACATGAACATGAACTACACAGCCTATTACCCCAGGTACCAGCCCATAACTGTAATGCATATAACGCAGTTTAAGTTCCTATATGTTCTATGCAGTAATATAATTGATCTCTTAACATCTTCATTACCTTAACTGTCTTTTTGGATGAAGTTGACGTTTAGCTTAAGTGAATGTCTGAACGCTGATTCAGTCAAAGTTTTGTATAAATCATAAAGCAAGTCTTGATTATCTAAGCAAGTTTGTTGCTCTCTCTTTCTCATGCCTGCTTTCGCTCTCAGTCCTCCAGTGTCTCCCTCCACAGTGAGCTACTTTGCAGCCCCTCCAGGTTCCATGGCGGCTGCAGTGGCTCAGCCAGCCCCTCCTGTTCTGCCTCAGCCTGGCGCTCTGGTGCGCATGCAAGGGCTACCATACAGCGCTGGTGTGAAAGACATACTCAGCTTCTTCCAAGGCTACCAGGTAACCATAGTAAACATGGTATCACTACACATTGAGGACAAATGTTCTGCCAAGCTTTAAAATCTGTGGCAGAGTTTTGTTTTTCACCTTGCGTTTCTGACTGTCCACTCTGACAAAGGCTGTTTAGAGCAGGTTAAGACCCAAATGACAAGTAGACACATCAAAACACCATTATATTCAATTTAGTTTCCAGTTTAATCGGTACACCTACCATGTATCTACCCTCATTAGCTATTTTATCAGAAATTCTTACCATGTAGGTGCACTTTGTAGGTTTACAATTACTGAATGTAAATACTGACCCATCTATTGCTGCACAATTTGCTGGCCATCCAGTAATGGAAACTAATCACCACAGGACCAGCACTGAACAGACACTATTTAAGTGTTCCATTATCGTATAGTGTTTTTTTGTAATCTAATGTCTAGTGGCTGACAGGAAAAAGAAGACCGTTACAGGGGTAGACAGGTAAAATATAAACATTTTTATCATATATGCATTGTATTTATAATGAACGAGCATGCTTAGTACAAAAACCAAGTGCTGCTTTGTAAAAGGAAATGTTTATTTAAAACTGATCTGCCCTGATGTCCTCTGTTTTTGATTTTATTAGGCTGTGTACTGGCAATAAATCTGGTGATACAATACTGGGTTTACAATTCAATACATTGTGATGTTTTTCGATGCTGTACACAAGGCGGTATATTCTGATTATTTTAAAGTAATTTTAGGGAAACTGTCATAGTACCAGTAACACCCCCATATGTAAAAAATTATCAGGAGTGTATGGTGTCACAAGGCTCCGTTGTATTCACCATGTTAAGGAATCCATGTTCCATCACATTGCGCTGTCTTGTCGAAATTTTCCCGTTCCACCTTAAAAGGAGGAAAGGAAAGTTCTGAGCAAGTGATTAGAAACTATTTCAACTTTTTGTTTTTAGCCGTTGAACTCCCATTCATTCAGTACTCGCTCGTGGGCACCCTCTGCTGTTTTGCAGTCCTGTTTTTAATAATGGGGGAAATAGGAAGTGGCCAGGCTCCTCATTGACCGGCTCAGCCCTTAAGCTGCTTATTGATGTTGGACAGGAAGATTCTAATGGCTGAAGATAGATAGATTACAGTACTGCCATCTAGCATCTGGGGGCTGAAACACAACAAAAAATGAACCACTATCCTGTGTGAATCTTTGCCTGCAAATGTTTATTTAAATTTTTTTTGAGAATCGATACAGTATCGAAACATAATATTGTGATAGTCAAGTGTATATTTTTTTACACCCTTATAAGGTTCAGTTTACTACTGCAATGATAACCTCTTTAATAAAATTAGTTGGTAAACAAATTACATAAAGAGCTTGTTTCATAGAGTGATATTAGCAAATTTGCCAATGGAACAGCATCTACGACACCACATGGGCCAACTCAGCAGGGGAAAACCACGACGTGTCCCAATCCATCTTATTAGCTATTGCATTGGTTACAGTTAACAGAGTCTGACAAAGTCTGATGCAATTAGTTTTGTGACTGACTAGGGTTCCTAAAAGGGAAAGAAAATGCAAAAAAAAACTGGGCTACAGGCTCTATCAAAATGTGAAATGTTATGGTTTGCTTTCTGATATATATGTTATATAAGTTAAGATATATGAAGTTTGCTGTGCAGTGTAAATGTATGTGGATAAATGTTTCTTGACCGTGGGTCAAAATATCATTAATGTCGTTATTATTATTCTCTACGTTTTTGCCTTTTTCCTTCTCCTTATTGGCTGACATCTGAGTAGGCGGAGTCTTCATTGCATGGTATGAACTTCAGCAGCTAGTTTTAGCTGGGGTGTGGAAAGGGAGAGAATGAATGAATGAATAAATGAATGGGTGATGGATGAATGGAAGGAGAGCTGAATAAAGGAGAGTGAGAAATGAAAGGATGGTGCTTTACATTGGGCATGGGTCTTTGTGTGCTTTCAACTCCTGGTGGAGCAGCAGGGTGTTGATATTGATGGAGCAGCTCAATTCCGCAGGCCTAAGGTAAGGGGCTTGTGGGGGTGGGGGTAACTGTAGCTGCTCGCTCTACTGCCTGCTCGCTCCATTGCCTGTGTCTAACTGTGAGCAGTGCTGTGGAGTGTGCGTGTGTGTGTGTGAGTGTGTGCGTGCGTGTGTGCGTGCGTGCGTGTGTGTGTGTGCGCGTGTGTGCGTGCGTGCGTGTGTGTGTGCGTGCGAAAAGCTGAATTCAGCTTTGACTTCTGGCTGAACCACTGAAATGGAACTCTAGCCGCCCTCCAAGTGTGCTTTTAGCTGCTCAGAGTGCACACTTCATATGCGTGTCTTGGGAAAAGTGTTTCTGATTAGTGTGATTTTGTACTTTTACGTGTGTGTGTGTGTGTGTGTGTGTGTGTGTGGGGTCCAGCATAATGCACAGCAGGTTTTGAAGGTGTGGGTGTGCATTTGTGTTTCTGCATGGTTCTAGATTTAGTTGGGTTTGTTTACATCTTGCTGTGCTGCTGTGAAATGGGTTTGAAAGATGTTTGAAAAAAAAAAAAGTTGTGGGCTATTTTGCAGGACCCAAACTTTCCTCTCCACCACTGTTGTAAAGCATTAACAAACTGTGGGACTGTAGCTACTTAACTAGATATTACACAGCTTAAAGTGCCCATATTGCATTGTTGAAACTATTCACTCCCTACCCCCAGTGAATACAGACTACATATTTGTCCAGTTAAGAGTAAAGCATGTGTATAAGCTGTAGAAAAGCCTTTTTTTTAATTAGTCATGGTTGTGATGTCACAACCACATTTACATGCGTGACTGCATACTGCAGTTTAGCCACTTGTTCATGTTGATGTAACAGGTGTTACTGCAGACAGATTGTAGCAGAGTAATTGGAGTGGTACATGTAGGTAAAGAAGTTAAACGTGCGGTTCCTGGCTATCAGCAAGCAAATCTAACACAGCTTTCCAAAGAATCCAGGTATTTGGAAGCAGCAGCTGAATTTTTTTGAGTATTTGAATTTGTACCTTTCATAATTTCAGCATAGACTGCTCTTTAAGCAAGAAACAAAAGCAGGGTAGCGAACCAGGACAGAGGGCGTTTACATATGTTAGTCTTGTAAACACAGTAACAAAAAGCATTAAAGAGAAATTGGTAGCGTAAAAATGAATTATGACTCTTTTTGTACATAAAACTGCACTAATGTGAAAAAAAGAGATTTTTAGCAGGGCTGTACATAAACGTTCTGAGTAGCACTGTTGCTAAATAAATTACCGGTGTCATGAATTTCTCCTAGCACATGCAACAACATCGTCACATTGTACAGCACTAACTTGGGGAGTTTTAAAAAAAAATATATATATATGGGCCCTTTAATTCTGGTAGGTGGCTACATGTGTTCATCCCAGTTAAATTCTGGTGCTGTCTCTTAATCTCATTCTTTTTTAACAACAATAAATATACTTTTCTAATGCTCAAAAAGACTCTAAAGCAGCACTGAGCATTACTACACGATTTATTGACTGCAGGTGCCGTTTGGACATTAAGCCATTAAAGCATTACAGTGTTGTATGTGAATGGTGGAGAATGTGGCACTGACTGTAGGCTGTTGTGCTGTAGTACACTCCTGAGGATTACAGCAGTGTGATGGGAGTGAACGATCAGGCCCGTGCTCTAATCCAGCCCAAAGAGTGGCTCTGCCTGTAGGGGGCACTCCTCCAGGTAAGCCCCCGCGGAGCTCTACTGTCGTCGGCCCTGCATGGACTAAACCGTAGCGCTTTTTTCCCTTTATCTTACCCTGCGATTTCTGATTCCTGATGTTCCCAGAGGTTCCCTCTTCTGCTCATTTTCCTTCCTTTTCTTTTCTCTCTTTTTGATAATGGAGATGATTTTTGTGTTTTTAAATAACTCTGCACTTTCAGATTTGACTGACATCTCTGCTGGTGGGTTTTTGAGTTGATTATCAGACATCAAAATCATCTTCCTCTCAATGCGAAAGTTGCATATTTCCTTTCTGTTCTGGGCTCTGTAGCTCCGCAGTCCTCACCAACACAGTTTTATTCTCTGCAGGGTAGCTCATTAGCCATGGTGGTGTTTTGTTTTGTTTTGTTTTTTTTTAAATGGGCCTACATGGGCAAAAAAACACATCATGATTCTAGCTGTAGTTAATCTCATCTCTCCAAATCTATAATTGTCTTTTTTACATTTCATGCAGATGTTTTTACTACTAACTGACCATCATAAACCGTTAACTAGGAAGCCTAAAATCAAAGACATGACCCATCAAATCCTTTATGAAACAGATCTCATTTGCTGAACAGTGTTTATACAATCTTTGATGTACATTTATGTAGCACTGATAGGAGGGCCAGGTATAAGCTTGTCTGTGAAGTAAACGGCCAGAACTGTGTTAAACACACCCCACAGAAGGACCTGGTTTTGTTTTAACTGAGGGGACTGACAACTATATGTTTGAGTATATGATCAAAAACTAGTGTTGACAAAATATCTGGAATATATATGCGGAGCCTCTAAAGTTCTAAGGTTATATTCACTCCTCATTACCGTAACACTTTATTTGGATAGTCCACTTAAGACGCTTTGTAGATACTTAATTTACTTTCTAATTACATCCAACTACATATCTACTAAATTGACCGTAATTTTCTTAAACTCTAAACCTGGCTCTAATCCTAACCCTAATCTTAACCCAAAACCTAAACCCAACCCTCATCCTGGTCCTAGCCTCAACCCTGGTCCAAATCCTAACCCTAACCACACCACTGTTTAGAATTAACTGAGTTTCAACAGAGAGTTTGTTAACAAATTGAATATCTGTAGATAATCTATAGGGGACCATAGTGGACTATCCAAATAAAGTGAGACCCTCATTACTAGCCCAAGTTAAATGGATCATAAATGCCATGACTTGGGGCTAGCTTTAGCTCAATGTACCTGAGTAGCTCCAAAGCATCTGTAAATGTTTGACTTCAGTATGGTACATCATTTTAGATGTGTACTTAAATTTTTGGTAGCCTGTCTAGCAGAACCAATGGCCTATAGCCCACACAAGCATACAATTTGGAAGCGTTTCCCAGCTTGAATGAGAAATGCGCCGTTCAAATAAGAACTGTTGTGTATTGAAAATAAAATGAATTTTAAACTATTAGCATCAATTAAACGTTTACTTAAAGTTGCACTATGGAAGTCAGGAAAGAAAAAACTAAATGCTAAAATGATGTGCATGCACTGCCCAATGCCCAGTTGTATACCCAACTGTAAACAAACTAATGAGTTAATGATACTTGTATATTCGAATACCCACACCCACCTCAAGTCCAGTCTGATTGATCTTTGTATATGTTTCTGTATGTGTATGTTTTTTTTTTTTTCGTTGCAGCTCCAGGCGGACTCTGTCCTTGTCTTGTATAACCTGAGTGGCCAGCGGAGCGGGGAGGCACTGGTGACTTTTCCCAGCGAGGAGGCGGCAAGGCGGGCCGTGGCCGAGCGCTCCAACCTCCCCCTCTTCGGTCACCCTGTCCGCCTGACGTGCTGCGAATGACTAAAACCCTGACCTACTGGAAAGTGACCGCTGGAACGAGCGAGCTCCGCACTTCACCCGATTAACCTCTCCCCCGAACCATATCCCCTGACCTCGTTCTACCTTAAACTGGCACACAGACAGTCTGTCCTCCATTTCTAACCCGCTACTACTGCTGGAGGGGAGCTGGCATGGAAATACATGAATTCTGTGTATATATGTATTGTCTAAGTGCCTGCTGTTTGTATATCAGTGCGTTTGAGACACAAGGAGAACCGGCATGCTTTATGTGCCTCTATGCAAATGTTAGTAGATCTAAAGCATATTGAGGCCTCACTCTACCATGTGCTTATGGATCAAAATTCCCTCATTCATCTCAAGCTCTTCCTGTGGGTGAAATGCCATGACAAGTATCCACTGTTTTTAATGTGTATGCTACTCCCTGTAAGCCAATGGAAGGCAGTGCAATATACAAGGGCTAAGCCATATGGCCTGCCAGTGCCTCATGCTGGATGCAAGAAGAATTGGAACACTACTGACCGCCAAGAGGCTGATTCTAAGCCACTACTGAATGTACAGTGAGGTTGTATAAGCCAAACTATGCTTTAAAACCTAGTGAGTAGAAAACTTGCTGCATGTTGGATTTAAAAAAATTTTTGTTTTGGTGGAGAGTGTCTCTGCACTGTAGACCACACAATGCCTGAACACTTAATTGTATAATCAAAAGTGGACCAAGTGTGCCCTTCTTAGTTGAATCAAATCCAGGAGAGAACAGTTTTATTTAATACGAGAAACAAACGCTGTTTTGTCTGATCTGCATGCTTTCCTTCTTGGCCTTTAGTGATGTTGGAGAGGCATTCTGTGCCATAGGTCTCCTCCTTTTTGGCAGCGTAGATGATATATATTCTTTTTTCCACCACCACCCTTTTAGGAAAAAAAAAAACTGTGACCGAACTTGTAGGATTAGGGCCGCAGTCTTTTGTTGCCTTTACTTCATTACCCAGAGTGCAATACCAGTTGAACAAAGATTGGAGGCCTCTCTGGCAACCAAGTAGGCATTTAGGTTTTTCTCTAAAACAAGTTTGAAACTTGTATGAATCTAAAGATGCCATTTATGTGACTCTTATATGCAAGCAATAAAATATTACTCTGAAAAATCTGACCTAATTTTTGTTACAACAGGGATACAAACACATGCTGCTGTTTTTTTGTTGCTAATGGAGTGTTGTGTGGTGCAGTTGCTGTGGAAGTTCAGTTCATGATGGCATCAGGTCATCAGGGGTGAAATGTTAATGGGTGGGCTGAAGCTGGATCTGTCTCATTTTTCATGTCTGATGTTTTTCCATTAAACTATATGGTATTTGTAATATGTGACACCACTGTGCAGTGTAAGAACAGGCTTAATGTTCAAGCAACTGGCCCTATATCATCTGATTTAATTCACATGAATTGTGGTTTACTTACATTAATTAAAAAGTCCAACCATACAGTGCAATTTATGCAAAGTAAGTAGCTAAACAAAGTAAGTAGCTAAATCATTATAGGATTATTATATTTAGCTGCTGAAAGTCTAAGGTTGTGTGTCAGTAGTCTACTTGCCCTTTAGATCCTGAACTGAAGAATATGAACTGCTCGCTTTCAGAGATATTCAGTGTGTAGCTGCGTCCAAAACTGCACATTGCAATGCTAGGTTGCTGAATGCACTGCTGCTGGTTATTTATACTATGTTGACTGCACTGTACAGAATGTGGTTTTGAATGCAGCTTGTGTCTCTGGGTCTCACCAGCACCCATTACATTTACTCACAGTAGAGAGTCTTCATCATAAATTGTCAAAAGGAATCATAGTTTAGTCCCACAGCTGTGTCACAATATCAGGACTATGTACACAAGCAGGCTGTAGTTGCAGTCAACGTGGCAAAAACATCCAAATAAGTGCAATGGATATTTTTATTTCTAATCATGGCATAAATTACATTTACTGTTGTAGACAAGTGTCACTCAAAGTTGCAGAGGCAGCTGTTTGTTAGGCTCTTTGTTTTATTTGATTTTATGTTTATTAGTCTGTATCATGATTGTGCACAAACTAATTCCAATTATCTTGCTCTCAGCATGACTGCGCAACTCTACTAGGTCACTTATTTGGGAAGTGTCTTTGTGATGTGCCGCTTGTCATATAGCAAGTGTTTAGTTCCTGTCTTTTATAGAGAAGATATGAGGCAATGGGCATTACTGACTGGCAGTGGAGATTGTTGGGAAGTTCAGCATAATTTCTAAACTGTGAAGGAAATTGAATCACCATCACACAGTTTGGACTAGTTTTTGCCTGGAAGTAACTGACAGTGGAGCTATATATATATATAGGCTGTATATTATGCTGCTCCTTCTTTTTAAAACCCAAACCCAGAGAGAGAGAGATTTATCATTCATATATATATTTAATGTATATGTGTGTTTGTGTGTATATATTACAGCCCTTAGAAGAAAACCTCGTATCTCCGTTTTAGTTGTATATGTATATAGATCGCTCCACAGTCAGTGTGGAAAAAGACTAACAAGATACAAATTATGTTTTACTCCCATCTCCTGGCAGACCATGTAACTGCAAGTTTGATGTGAGATTCAGTGGGTCCTCTTCCAGGGCCAGTGAAGTCTAACGTGGCCTAATGCAGTTAGGGCCTTATTTATAGAGAGGATGAAAGGTGGAAAGAAGTCAGAGTTTATCAAAAGCCCTTCATTTTTCATAAATTACGAGTAGTGGCCTCTAAACCTGAAATATATTAAAGTTCATATTTAATGATCTTTTGAACTTTGTATAGCAGAAGATTTTAACAAAGAAGCCAAAAATACATGACTAATGATACAAATGCTGGCATGTTTGGCCCTTTGATATGCCATAATAAAATCCAGTGCATTCATAAGGGGCCTTTTTGGCATAAAGGAGCTGAGTGAATGAGTCAGAAGTGTAAGGTTTCCATACGTTATGATTATTGACGCGTTAGGTATGGAGTTAGTTTTGTGCCAAAATGTTTGAGAGAAGATCCTGATGTTTGAGAGAGGAATGTTCCGGTTTGAGAGGGCAGCGCTGCTCTGAGCGCGCAGCTACCTGAACGCACTTGTCAGCAAGAAGTTCGCAGGATTTGCTCAATAAAACACTCCGGTTTCATTCAGAACTTGAAAATCTGCACAACAATGTATTTCCCTCTCAGAACTCGAACGGGCAAAACACTCCGGTTTTCACTCAAAACTGGAAAACCTGCTTAATCATGCTCTTCACCCTCAAAACGTGCGCGCAGCGCGCGCTCAACTTTCACATCTGCCCACTGTAAAATGTCTGAATGTTTGTGCCAAAACTCCAGCCAATCAGAGCTGCCGAGGGGCGGTTCCTGTCAGCGCACCAATCATGGCGTCTTTTCTTAAGCAGCTTTATGCCAATTGGTCAAGGTACGTTCGTGGCTGTGGTATTGAGTCGGCTAGTGTGTTGTAGACTTGACATTAGCTAGATGGTTTCTAGCTTTCTAGTATCAAACGAATAGAAATGGTTTATCAGTAATGCTCTGTTTTCCAGTTTTGAGTGAAAACCGGAGTGTTTGGTTGAGCAAATCCGAGGCGTTTACCTGCCGCACTTTGTGCTGACAAATGCGTTCAAGTTCAGGTAGCTGCGCGCTCAGAGCAGCGCTGCCCTCTCAAACCGGAACATTCCTCTCTTAAACATCAGGATCTTCTCTCAAACATTTTGGCACAAAATTAACTCCATGGTTAGGCTGCGCTATCGAGCCCCTTGAGGCCACGTTTTGCCCATATTAGGAAGTACGGGACTAAACTCGATTTCTCTATGGCCAGAATAAATGGGGTTTTCGAAAAATCACCCCTATCTCACCCTGTGTTAAATAAAATGTTCAGAACCCGACATGTTTCGTTCTGTGTACATTCTTCTCCTGAATATCACTGGATCCTCTGAATTACGAAGTTGGTAAAGAGCCTTATATTAATATCGCTACATGGAAGCCAAAGGTAGTTACTGCGCATCGATGTGAGGTCACTACGCTACACGACGAGCTGTGCTACCTTATCAGAATGTTCTACCGTAGCGCATAATTACAGGTATATGGGTAAATAAAACCACTAGGTAGGACATTTTGATAGACTAAAACTTCTTATCAAAAAACTACGAGGCTGAATTTAGTTTAGGTCACTTTAGCTTCCATGTAGCAATATTAGTATTAAGGCTCATAACATCTTAATAATTAAGGGGAATCCTTAGTGCAAAGTGTTAGGGCTACATGGCCCTCCATACGAAGTGCTACGAGAAAAGAAGAAAAAACGGCAAGATGGCTGCACAAGCGACCGAAGAAACACACGTGTATTTTTTCCGTTAAAAATTATGATGACCGTTGTATTATCCTAATTTGACGTTTCAATGTATTGTGGTCATTTTCTTCATAACAAGCATATGATTGCTAGTAGTATGCTGATGTCTCCGTAGCTAGATAGCTAAAATGGTGTAGCAGTTCTGACGCCTGAGGCACCAGAATGTAACTGGTGAACCATTTAAGGTGGAAGGGCATTTACACGGGATACCACCGAAGAATCAGGGTGGGCGGTAATAATAAATAAATATATGATAAATAAACCGTCACATCCTCCATTTGACGGCATATAATTGCCTCAATTCACTAAAGACCAGCTGCGAGGTTGTTGAACTTCCTCTTCTGGTGTCACTGCAGACTGTCAGGGTCGCCTACAAAGCACCGCTAGTAGCTGTTAATGAAGTAAGTTAATGTTCTTTTTATTTGAGGGTCCCATTTCATAGGGGAAGATTTCAACCACCACCCCTTGTAACTCAATTGCAAGGGGCAAAGTGACACTCAAAAACAAAAGGCAAGATAAAAAAATAGGAAATGAGATTTGACCCAAGTTTCGTGTATCTAGAATGGTTTGGTCTGGATGATTCGTTTTAGCGGAGATAAAAATAACAATAAGGAAAACTAACAATTCAAATAGGGTCCTATTAACAAAAACAACAAACACAAAAGGTTTCATTATTCCTTTACTTGCCTTGTATCATTTGAAAGGCCCTCTTTTCCTCCTCCCTCAGTGGCAAACTAGGAAAGCACTTATGACTGCTTATTTACATACCTGTCATAATGCAAAACAAAGTTCACTGTATCTGAATTTACCATGAGATATTTCCAGTCATGATGTCATTGGCTCAGTTTTGTTGACTCTGCACATTCAGAGATAATCTCAACAGAGACACACAGAGCTAATCAACACATTTCATCAAGAGTGCATGATGGACAGTGCAGAAAACTACAGTTCACCTTAGAACTTAGAACTATGTTCTCAACATTTCATTACTGTCAGTGGACCACATTAAAAAAAAGAAGATAAAGCTTTAAAGTTCCACTGGTGTCTCATTTACTGCTCTGAGCTGTAATAGCTATATACACAAGAGCTGGGATCTTGTGTATCATGGGTGCAGAACACATCAATAACAGAAAAATAATGAATAGCCATTTTCTTAGTTTTTGTTTTTTATTGATACACTACATCAGAAGAGCCTACAATGCAAAGTATTCCCTTTGGATAATTTCAAAAAGCACAGCAGTCTTAAAAATTACAAAAGGTTTAAAATACAAAATGTACAAGAAATGACAATACAAGGCTCTGTAAACAGCAGCTCAACTTGTATTTCCCTTTTATTTTACAAAATTATATATATATAATTTTTATTTTACAAAATTATATATATATATATATATATATATATATATATATATATATATATATATATATGCGCATATTCCCCCCGACTTTAGGAATGACATCCATGATTTCAAAGTATCAAAAATAGAGTTGTAGAGTCTGTGTTGTCATCTGTATGTAAAATGGGAACACATTGTTCGCTCTTTGGTTTTGAAGAACAGGACGAAAAGTAGGTGCTTGATGGGAGCCCTGGTTTTAGTCCCGGAATTTCCATGTTTTCCGTTTTGCCCTCCTATTGCGGATGATTTTTTTAAAATGCTACTCCTAAATCAAACCCAAACATTCAAACACATCTGTATATCATACACGAGTTAAGGCTTTCCTACTGTATATTTGATAGTTTAAATTAAATAAGTGGCATTGAAATCACCTGGTACTACATGGGTTTACATACACCAACAAAACTACACATATATATATATATATATATATATTTATATATATTATGTATAAATGCAAGAGCTGAATATCAAACATATCTGCTATTTTTAGTCGATGCCAAATATTGCATCATCACGTTACTGTCTGTCTCCTTGCATAGCCTAAATTCATCCATGTGCTTTTCTCACCACTGAAACTGAACGAATTTAAAGAACAGTTACACACACATACACTCTTAAGACACTCACTCTAGTCCTTTAAAAGGCAGGATTACACTCACACACACACACAGTTCTCGGATGTAGAAAAAGAACGTCTGGCATACTAAGCTACAGCTAAGCTTCCCTACAGCATCTATGTCTAGAGGCATCAAGGTTTTCTTTTTTAGTTTGTTTATTTTTTTCAAAGGCAACAGGCAGGTTTTTAGTGCATAGCAGATCTTTTTCATTCTCTTTTCCATGTTTCAACTTATAACAACAGTCATTAATACGGCTTAGTCTCAAAGACCCCAAAAAAACCCTATTAAGTGGCTTTACCAGTTTACAATAGAAAAATATACACACAATAGTTATTACTTTCAAATCAAAGCTTTTAAGGCAAGGAGCCAATACAGTTCTTCATAAATTTGTTTCTGTCAAACCCCAGTTATGGTATTACGCTAAAAATACATATCTTACAGAAAGATAGCACCCAATCAATTCATCTAGAGTTTGAGACCAGTCTCTATCCCATTAATCCTTGAATTTTTCTCTTACTTTGGGCTATACTTGCTGCATGTCCACTTGTAAGCACAAACACTGATTTTCACTGGATTTGCAATCAAAATAGTACAATGCTTTATATAAAGGAGAATTCCACCAAATTCCACCTCAATCTCTGAGATGTAAACAAAGTCATTCAGAGCAGTCTGATGTGAAATGGTTCATAGTAGAGAAACTTACCAGCTGGTGCTGATAAGAACCAGGAATCACAATGTTTACAGCACAACTACAACCAATTTATTTACTATATAAAACAAGCAGTAAACCTACATGTATCTTCTGTGTTTTTACATATAATGCTGATTATGGTAAAACAGCTAAATCTGGAAACCAAAGTTTGGTTTGGGTGGCAAAACAGCCTTTGTTATGATTCCCCTCTGTATTTGTCATTAACTAAGCATACATTACAGCAGTGTTTAAGGTAGAAACTTCCACTCTATAAGCAGCCTTTTATCCAAATAACGCCACCACACTACTGGTAACCTTTGTTAGCTCTTTAATGAGGTTTTCAATGTTACATTAGCACCAAGCTAGAGTTGCTATACTTTGCTGTTGATTACCTACCCTGTTTTTAGGTAATCTGTGGACATTTGAAGCTTCTAAGATTCAGGAAACATTATGTTGTACTTTTTATGTTGCACTCTGAACATTATATATTAGCCTGTTAGCCTGTAATCAGTATGTTGAGCTGGTTGTTAAACAAAGCTGTGTTCTTATGTGGGGTCATGTTTAAAATGGTTTCAGGCATTTTACTTATATACATACACATGAAATTTGTGACTACTAAGATGTCTGCATTAGTAACATCCAGCATTTTCTTTCCACTTTTGCAAGTTTCTCCAGAACTGAGCATTTCACATTAAACTACTCAGAGTGACTTTGTGTCTTAATGTTTGAATTAAGCAGACATTTTGAAAAATCGATGGAATTTCCCTTCACAATCAGATCTATCTTTTTTGGCTACCACTATAAAACAAAATGGCTGGACTCGAAAATGTGGTTTCACTTGTTCCAATGTCCATTTGGGACACAAAGTTCAACTTTGTGTCTCACAGCATTTAGGAAAGCATACTGAAGAGTAGATAGCTGTTGATTGTCAAGATTGTAGAAATGCAGCCTTTTGCAGGACCAAGAGAAAGAGCTTTCCCAACCACTTCAATATGGCCACCGTTGAAAAAACATTAAATAAAGATGCTATCTGGACTGTTTCTGTTATAGATCTGAGCGTGATTGTCATTTGAAAGGCACACTGGAGTTATCAGCTTACTGAATAAATCGATTCATCTGTTTCTATGCATTTCTACTGAAGTATAGACGTCTTTAGAAACTATTCGATTTAGTTTGTACATATTGCGCTGTAGGAGTTATATTTGACCGACACACTTGATCACACTCGCAGAATAGCTTGACTCCAAATGGGACACTCAAACCTGATTGAGAACATTTAGACCATGTCCTCAGCACAAAATTCAGCCTCAAGAAGAAGAAAAAAATAGACTGAGGAAGGAGAAAAGAAACAAGAACATCTATACTCAAAACTTTTTTTCAGTCAATCCAAGCTGCTAAGTTTATAAGGCATTTGTTCAACCTGAAGAGGAGAAAGAGGGGATCATATCTACAGCTCAAAAAGGACACTAGAAATGTGTGGAATGTTGCATATTATTCACACGTCCGCAACGCTCTGGCTTGTCCTCCAGAGGGCGCCACCAGACTGTGCTGATTTCAAGAGGGCGCGCTTAGGCTGGTTAAAGGGGCAAAAAGTGAGGGTTGATTCCTCTTGAATTCCGTTCCATCCATTCCAACTCAATCCCAGACACCAGCATCTACACATATTCTGCCATTATGGTTGATGCAACTGTGGGTTTATATTGCATACGCTAGTTATAAGGATCATGGGCTGCATAGTTTGCTCGTTTTCATACGATGGCTGATCCGAAACATCTTTGCCGTTTGAAGAAAAAGCCTGAGAACTACTGTAAAAAAACAAGCAGAGAGAGCGAGAGACTCGACTTATTCAAGCTACGTACTGAGAAATATGCATGTTAGGAACAACCACATACCAATATTATCCTGAATGTTTGTGTTTGTGTGTGTGTGTGAGCTCTCTCTCCCCCAGAAGTCTTCTTATGACATCTCTCTTCATGCCTGGTGGGTCCAGAGGAGGCGAAGGGGGAGTCTTGGCCCAGCTGGATGCCAGCGAGGGGCGAGACGTCCCTGTGCCATGTGTGGCCTGGCTGGATGTGTGGATGGAAGCGCTGTGGCTGCGTCTGACTGAGTCCACAGCTCCGCAGGGCTGCTCACACACTCTGCTGCCTGGAACAGAGCAGCAGGCGGTGGGCTAGGACTGACTGTGTGCCGTTGAGGTGCCATGAACCCCCGGAGCCTCAGACATGTCTCTGCCAATGATTTCATTCACTGTAAGGCACAAAACAAAGACAGAAAAGCCAGTTTACATCATAAAGAACTATAGTTACAGCTAGTTACAGTTAATGCGCTCCTGCAGTTTTCTAAGCAGAATACAAAATTACTGAAAAAATAGTAATATAAACATAAGATTTCTACATTTCTGTATTATACTTATTGTATAATAATCTATAATGCTTTCATCACCATAATATTGCTGTAGCACTGTTACAGTAACCTGCAAAATTTGTGCAGTTCTCTGTACGTAAACAGTAAACGTCTCCATTTATTAAAGGTGTAATGATTTCAATATTTAAACAAAATCAAATTAGAAACAATGTGTCCAAATTTCAGTCTCTTCTGAGAGACTTATTTGCCATCTTGTTAGGAAACCACTGTTAATCATCAAGACAAGGCATCTGGGTGCATTCTATCAGTAAAGCATATGGGGAATGGGGCAGGGCCGATGATATGGACACTCCCACATTAAAATTACACTTCAGTTCAAGGGATTAAAATTTGTTTTGGCCATGTCATGCATTAGAAATCTTCTGTTGGAGAACTATTGTTTATCTGAGCCAAACTAATGAGTGTAGTTTATAAATAGAGTTCTGTACAATCACATGTTAAAACACATAAAATTACAGACACTGAATAGAATTCTGACCTCAGATTTGAAAACCGTGTTGAACTTGAAAATACATATATCTTTACAGCCCTACAACTCACAATAAGATTCCTACAGAAATTCTTATAGATTTATTATAATTTACTACAAGATTCCAACAGGAATCCTATCGAAATTCCTTTCGGGAACTTTACTGTTACATTCCCACAGGTCTTATAGATTTATTAGAGTCTACTATAAGATTCTAGCTGTTGATACTTAGCAGCAGCTCCCATGGCAGTAACAGCTTGAGCTTAAATAAACTGCTCTCTAAACATGTTGCAACAATAACTCTTATAGTTTTGTCTCAATATATGCTTTTTCTATATTAACCCAACTGAAGAAAACGTACCCATCTGACATTCTGTTTGTTGTGACGTCAACAAATGATTGTGAAAGCAATGTGGGAAATAACTGCGGGCAGCTCGGGCGATTATGTAAAAATTCTGACAGGCCTACTTGTAAAGTAGCAGCATCGCTGGCTTGTACACTGTTTGGGATCAACCAAACTAATGATTTGTCAGCAGTGTTGATCTTTTTTTTTTATTTATTTGCAACGTGTGTAATGTGTCAAACTGTCCTTTGACCTGTGGGAAAGTCTTTGGTCAGAGATTGTCTGATTATAGTTCATTAATAATGGGCTATCTGGATAATAGATCAGCCTACGTTCCTATTTTTTCTCTAAACATGGTTCACACGAATGTGGTTTTTGCATTTGCCCTTTATCAAAATAGTTCAGCTACCCCAAAGCACCTGCTGTAAAATATTCCACTACTGAAGGCAAAGCAGGCAGAGTCTCTTCACCAGAAGAGGGCAGTGTTGAACCGTGCTGAGTGTCATTTGTGCCAGCGGTGCATGGTAGAGTAGCGCCACGCTCTTAAGAGCCAACGGAAAGACAGAGAACAGCAAGAGAGAGGAAGAAAAGAAAAACCTAAACAAACTCAAGACTTTGGTATGTGACGCACTCGCGGCAAATGGAAAGACAGGTAGAACTATTCCATTCAGTGGTTGCAGCAGCATAGCCACGAATAGATTGTGTGTGAGAGAAATAGAGTGAAAGAGAGAGTGTCAAAGTGTGAATTTAGACAGTAGCCGCCAATCTTCTATGAATATAGTCTTCCTTTTGTTTTAAAGCCTGTTTTAGAAGCACAGAGCCTTAGTTAATTATGTTTAATGGGCCTTGGGTACATCATGGCTTGGCTTTGTGAGCACTGTTAAAGTGCTACATAAAAAAATCCACTCTTTTAACATATGCTCCTTATCCCATGGAGCACTGAAGCGAGTGGAGTAATTACTCCAGCAGACTGGAAGACAGATATTAAATAAATAAGTCAGCATGTAGCCCGACATGGGGCCGATTTTTCAATGGAACCGCTGACTGAGCTGTGATCGTTGCAGTGAAACCGAAGCCGTTTCTCCTCGAACATTCTATTGGCTGAGCCAGCAGTCTCCACATGCTCCATTGGCCGAGCCAAAGTCTCCACACGTCTTATTGGCTAAGACACAGCAGGCAGCTCAGCGAGGGTTTCTTCAAGACTACCGCCACACAGTCAATCAACACAGCCAGTGCTCAATAACTACTGCTCCATCCAGCACACACAGAACAGCACAGACACCCAGAGACAGAACAATACACTGTACTGTGCGTAAGTCTTAGGCCAGCCAGGAAAACAGTTTAAAACTATTGATCTGGGCCCAGTTTCCCAAAAGCATCTTTGTGTTAAGATCAACTTGGTAGAAAGAATGTTCAGTGTGATGTTCACTCTACCCATTAAAAACCATCTTTGTGCTAAGATGCTGTCAGGAAACCCAGCCCTCAACAGTAAAGGTGTTCTGTCTGTACAATATTATAACAGAATGAATACATCAAAGTGAGCCTGAATTTTTTTTTTTGCCTTGTTAATTTACGGTCATATTAGGGATCATCATATCGTATTAACACCACTAATACCTGATCCTCCAGTATCTGCTGATACTGTGTACTGATTCCAATCCTATCTCTTTTTAAGGAGCTTATAAATACTGATATTTACACTGTTCCACGTTTAAATTTTTTTATTTGGCAAAAGCGGAGCTGTTTCACAAATAAAACATACTAAACTTGAACAAATTACATTTACTGGCTGGACAGCTACATTTGAATCATTTCAGAGCTACAGAGAGTTGCTGTGCTCTTTGGCATGGCTTACCTTTAGATGCTTAATTAAATTTGATGTATTGAAATCCTAGTGATGCCACCCCTTGAAATACTGGCGTTACAGATTTTGCAGTGAGCATTTTTACTGCTGCTAGTCTCAAGCATGAATCCTACACCGCCAGCATGTTGTATACTTCACTTAAACTCTATCTACTGGTGCGTAAGCAAGCGTCACTCAGTAGTGCACGCGTGCATCGGAACTGTATTTAAGTGCCAGAATTGGGGTTAATAGCAATATGTACACAACACTATGCCACACTATTTAAAAGACAAAATTCTTGTTTTTCTGTGATCAAAGTGTATCATTAAGCAACAATGATCAGCTAGCTTAGAGACTTGGTCTTATCTTCGTATAGAAGGAAAATGCATTAGTCATGTTCCAATTTCCAATTCAAGTTTTTCAATTCATGTAATAAATTAATTTAACAGACAGTCAATACTACAGTAAAATGTAATCCAACTTCTCAGTGCACCCTAGCCATTGCATGAATATATTCATTGGTAATGTATTCAATGATTAAACTTGTTCTGAAGTATTAATTAGCCTAACTAGGTATTGGATGGTAACTGTAAATAATGGGCTTAACAGACATACGATTGCAATTTGTTATATTGATGTTTACAAATAAGCATTACTGTTCAGATAATTGTCTTTAAATATGACTTTCTCAGGTGACCCAATACTATTGCACAGTGCTATAGGTGTGGTAACAAAAGGGAGGAAAAAAAAAAAACAAGAAAAGAAAGCAAGAGACAGCCACACTATACGGAGATGGAAGGTTCTAACCCACTTACAAAACTACACTCTTTAAAAGGTGCCAAAAAAGGTTCTTTAGAGCAATGCTTTCGAAGAACTACATTTGTTTTCCTCAAGAACTTTTGAAGGAACGGTTCTTTAAAAATCTCAAATGAAACCACTCAACTGAAAAGCTCTTTAGGGAACTGAACATGGCACTTCTGTGACACTGCACCAACTAAGCCTTTTTGGCACCTTTATTTTTAAGTGTAAGACACAGAAAAACCACAAACATTACTAAAGAAAAAGCTTAGACAACTTTAGCTTCTAGAGGCTGGGCTACTGTACGCACACATCAGTGAGTAGTTGCCCATGCAGGCGGCTTAATTATAAGTGCACTCCACACTCAGACAACCTCTGACCTTCCACCTACTACGCTACAGCTCCAAAGCACAGTCTTAACCACCAAGGCTCTAAAGGCAGGCTTGTCTCACTTAAAACCCATTTTACACAAAAGCTACAACAGGTGAGCTATTTCAAACAGCTCTGAACAAAGGCCTCACTCTATTTTTGTCCCTTAATGCCTTTGTTCTATGCCTCTGCTCTAAAACAACATTATACTGTCAAGAATCTGAATGACAGAGAGGCTAATGGATTAGAAATGACCAAAAAAGGATTTTTGAGATGATAACCAATTACAAAAAGTTTAATTGGGGGCATAAAGGGAAAACTGAGGGAAGCTAAAGGCACCGTCCAGAAGACATGTTAGCATTTTAGCTTTGGGAAAGGGCAGAATGCTGAAGATATTTGTCTTTCCCTATATTTAGAAAAAAGGAAGAAGTTTGTCTTCATCCAGTTTTAACAATATAAAGAAGAAACCAAAACTCTATAAGGTCTGGTAAAAAAAAAAAACATTCAAAACATACAGCCTCGCTTTGTGATTGTTCTTCTGAACTTGTGACCCTCTGATCTTTCAAAAAAACAAAAGAACAAAAAAGAGCTCTAAATGTCAAATAAGGCTTAATTTAGCAGCAGTGTGCATTAGCACATATAGGATGTGATGTTATTTTGGCTGTGGTGTTCTGAGTGTTGTAAGCTGCTTCTGGGTGTCGTGTGCAGTGTTTTCATTTATGTGAGCTGTGTACAGTGCTGTTTACTAACACACTAAGGTCTTTGGAAGCTAGCATTTTTAAGTGTGTACAGATTATATATAAATTTTTATAAGTATAAGCATTTATATTTGTGTTAATTGTCCCTTTCGTTAGCACTATCATGAGTTAACATGTTAATAGATGACTTCAGGATGCAGTTATGTATTTGTCTTAGCTTTTGCAGGGATTGGCTGTAGGTGTATGTTTGTATGTGTTTAGGAAAATGAAAGAAAAACAGGGCTAACCTACAGGGGCAACAAA